GTACTTGTCAAAGGTAATAATTATGATTGCAATATGACCTTGGTTTACAAGAGGGAGACAGTTAGATCATCAGAGTAAAAACCAACTAAAAATAAGGGTAGAAAAAAATGATAACTTCCAAGTTAAGCAGAGACAAAGAGAAGCAGCAATTGATTACCTGAGTGGCCCAGACCTGTTACATAGTTTATCACATGAAATCTCTCTTCATGCTGCCTCCATTACTGCCTTGAGGGAATGAGAAACACACGACCAAAACCAAAAAAGGATAAAATCTGGGCAAATTCAATACAGTAAACAATGGTCTTGTACTCAGAGCATAAGACTTGGAAGGCCCAATCAGACCTTTTTCATGCTCTACTTGTTTGGCCTTGGCAAATACCATTAAGTGTTTACCTACAACTTTTGTTGTAGTCGTCAGTTAAAATGAAATATGTACAGAATGATAAGGGAAGATATTTATCATCATCATCATCACCCTCCTTGTCACTATCAGGATTATTTTGTCTTTTTGTCATTCAGTTGTTTCAGTCGTGTCTGACTCTTTGTGACCCCATTTGAAGTTTTCTTGGCAAAGATACTGGAGTGGTTGGTCATTTCCTTTTCCAGTTCATTTTACAGATAAGCAACTGAGGCAAACAGTTAAGTGACTTGCCCAGGGTCACTCAGCTAGTAAGGGTCTGAGGCCAGATGTGAACTCAAGAAGATGTGTCTTTCTGACTCCAGGCCCAGGACTCTATCCACTTTGCCACCTACCTGCCATGTGGCAGCCATAATAGCTGCCACCTATTATTTTGTATTAGCACTTAAAATAATAGAATAGTCAGGAGTGGAGCAGAATAACTTAATCCAGCATCATTATGCACAAAGCTAGGTCGGCCCTAATTATATCCCACACACAAAATCTATAAAAGTTACATTAAAAATGAATCAAACAAAATAACTTTACTGAAGTAACACTGACTGTTGCAATACTAAATCTGCCCACAATTGGGACACTGATAAAATCTTCAGAGAAATGGTGATATTAAAAATGAGGGCAGAAATAAGATTAATCTCAATGGAGTCATAAAGTGAAGTGGCAAATGACTATTTGGATGGTCAGGATAACTGAGCCTAGCCTGTGACATAGTTTACTATTTGGACCTCTCTTCACACTGCCCCCATTCCATAAAAGCTAACTTGATAGAATTACAAACACATGACAATTTTTTTTAAAGATCCTGGAAGGGGCAAATTAAATCCATGGGAAGAGGTTTAGCATTAGGTTCAGAAGATGTGGTGGTCCCAGTCACTCTTTATTTGGTCCCTAAGGTACCCTTAGGTACCTACATGCCAGTTTTGCTATAGTGGTAAAATGATACAAAATATGTATAAAATGACATATAAGAGAATTGATGATTCTTATTCCTCTTATTTTATACCAATACTTCAACGAATAGATCAGTGAGAAGAGTAAATTAACTTAATAGGGGGATCAGGAAGACTTCTTGAGGGTCCCCCAATTGCTTCTGCACACCCAAGTTTCATAAGCTTGTCAGGCAAAAATGATATTCACAAAATGAAATTTGCCTATGAGAGAGACTACTAAATAGGCCTACAGAAAGTACAAAAGAAGTAATATTAACATTGAGGGGTCCAAAAAGAAATAAAAGCAACAAATGACTGCCTGGGTAGCCAGGGAAATTAGGCCACTTACTTTGGCACTACTCATCTCCATTTGTGCTGTCTCCATTCCATTAATGCTAGTTTGAGATTAAAATTAAAAACACACACCTAAAAAGTAGGCCAACATATAGGCAAACTAAATGCAATGGGAGCCCTGGCAATGGGGTTAGAGCACATGGCTGCCTCAATGAGACCTTTTCCTCACACTACCTATTTGATTTTTTGGGCAAGTATCTTAGAGTACTTACCTGCCAGTTCTTCTGTGGTGGTCAAATGAGATAAAATATATAAAGAATAATTTATAAATGCATTTAATGTTATGATCATCATTTGGTAGAAACACTTAAAATAATAGGTGAGCAGTATGATGGAAGAACTTAATTGTTTCATCAGAAGACATGCCTCAATATTTTCTCTAATAAGCTCCCTACAATGAAATATCATTAAGGTTTTTTTTTTGAGACATTCGAGTTAAGTTGACTTGTCCAGGGTCACACAGCTAGTGAGTATCATGTGTCTGAGGCCAGATTTGAACTCTGGTCCTCCTGACTCCAGGGTGGGTGCTCTATCCACGGTGCCACCCAGGTGCTCCCAAGTGTTTTTAATGAATTAGTCAAACTTATTTTTGAGCGAGGCCATGGAAACTGACCCAGACTGTTTCATGCTTTGCTACTTGCAATCTTTTGCTGTTCTGCATCTAATCCATCCCTCACACACTTCAATTAGTTATTTAAAAAAATAATCAGAGGAACCTACTTTTCTAAAGTAATACTAACTATTGCAATATGAAATTTGCCCACCAGAAAACTGAGATTTGAATGATATAATTTGTAATTGTAATTCCAGATTTGATTTGATTGAGCTTGTTCTAAAACTAAATTATAACATGGTCTCATTTAAAGTGTGATATATTCTCTTATTTGGATAATTGTGAGGTCTTACCCTCTATAGGTAGATCATACCTTAATGCAAAATATACCTGATATATGGTATTAAGATGAACTTCATGAATAAGAATTAAAAGTGCAATTATACTATACTGGTCTTTGCAATTAGTATAGAATGCCAATTTGATAGGTGGATGAAGTAATTTTCTATGTAAGATGATTCAGAATACAATAACATGGAATTTTGGTGGATGTGTTCAAAAATAAAAGTTAGCTATGAGTCTTGCCTAGAATCAAACAGTAATTTTTTTTTTAATGATGAATCCTATTGTTGCAATGAGTTCCTGTCATAGGATGCAAGTATGGAAAACCTAAATGTTTTAAATTTTCCTATTCTGAGTTTGTGGTCATTATTTGTTTCAACTTCCTAACCTAAGTGATTGAGAAAAGAAATCCTTACATTAACTAAGGCTGGGCTGCCTTTCCTCTGTCTCTCTCCCCCCCCCCCGCCCCTGCACACCCGGCCTATCCCCAGGCACACAGAGACTACAAGGACACACAGACCATTTTACACCCATTCTTCTCTGCTTTTACAGGAGTACAGCAGTCTTTCACACACTCACACATTCTCCAGTGGGTGAAGCAGTCACTGAGTCCAAGCTACACATACCCTCAGTTTCTTGTTCATTCACACACGTGGACAATCAAAATAATAAACACACAAATACACGGTCACACATTCATAGATGCAGACACATATACATAAAGTCCCAATTTATTCTTTTCTGTTAGTACTCATAGATGCATTTAAAAGGGCTAAACTGGGAAAACCCCAAATGTCTTCTTGTTTTGGGATATAAGAACCTGAAGGGCCATCATTTGACAGAGGGGGAAACTGAAGCCCATCCACAAAGGAGAAGTAATTTGTACAAGGTCTCAAAGTGACTAAGAAGGAGCCTGGTAGTTCACTGGATAATGAATACTGAGCATGAGGTCAGGAAAACCTGAGGTCAAATCTGGCCACAGACATTTAGCAGCTGCATATACAAATGAAAATACAAAAGATTTAGACATGTTCATTGGCAAGGAAATGAAATGAGTAATCTATAACTCCTATTTTCCTCCACTGGGAGGCTGACATAGAAAATGTTAAAAACTTTAAAAGCTGCCACTGTTGAGTAATCATTTCACCTTTTCTCTTCTGCATTGTATGGGCATCTCCCTCTAGGTCTGTGTCCTCAGGCATGTCAGTAGGACATGGATCATTTCTCCTGTAGTTCATCTTTTCCTTTTGGGATAAGACCTTGAAATGCAAGAATCTTAAGGGCCCTCGGAGGTCATGTAGTGTAACCCTGTCATTTGACAGAAGAGGAAACTGAAGCACAGCCCCGCAGGTGGTCATAGCCAACCAAACAGAGCAGGCTTGAGACAGGAGAGTCAGAACACAAACAGAAGTTTCATTAATTTCAGAGTGAGGAAAATGAGGTATGCATACAGAAATCCATCCTCCTAAGAAGGAGGGCTTAACATTCTGGACTAAAGGCAGGTCATATATACACCCTGGGCTGGACCATGACATAATCATTTTAGACTCTGTGGGAGCAGTATTGTGTCAAGTCTTGGGGTCATGCCCACCCTGCTGGGCACAGAACCAGAGGGGGAGCAGGAATGCAGTACCTGTCAGTGATGGTGAACATGTGATAGATGGCGGCCCTGTGAAATAGGGGGAGCTAAAGCCCTCAGTGAACACCTGGTGCAGGTCCAAGCAATCCTGTTGTTATGCCAAGCTGAGGACACAGCCTGTTTGTTAGGCCTTAGCTCTGGAAAACAGGGCATCTCCAAATTATTTTGACAGGTTTCTTGCTGTGTTCCAGGGTATCATCCCATACCACCTTCTCAAGGGAAGGCCCTTCTCCACTCAGAGAGCATTTGGGCTTTTACAACCCTCTTACAAAGAAACACACGTGTGAACACTAACAGAAAAGAAATAAAATGGGACTCTGTGTGTGTGCGCTGGCCTGCATCTGTGACCCTGTGACCATCTATGTGTATGTATGTGTGTGTGTGTGTGCGTGTGTGTGTGTGGTGTGTGTGAACAGGAAACCGAGCTTATATGTAGGTTTGACTCTGCTTGTGAGTGTCTGAACCCTGTGAGTATGGGAAGGTGTGTGAGAGACTGTCCCAGTGTGGGTGACTGTTGCACATCCCCGCCCCCCCAACCCCCCCCATCAGTCCCAGCGTCCGTGAGCGCGCGCCCGTGTGACTGCGCCCTGGAGGACGCGTGTGCTCAGGAGAGAGAGCCTGGGCGGCAGTGTCAGAGAGGTGGGAGTCGGGTGGAGGTGGGGGTGGGGAGGGGGGCGTGGAGGAGGCAAGGAGGGGCAGCCCAGCCTAGCGCAGCTCCTCCCTGCGCATTGCAGACAGCCTTTGTCTCCTCCCCTCTTCTCCCAGGCTCTCATCCTCGGGCCTCTGGACATCTGCCTGCGAAGGACCCAAGGACCGGCTCGCGTGATTCCCAGACGCCGGCTCCCGGCCCCTACTGCAGGAAGGGCCTCTAGCCTTTGCTCCCCGCCCTCCCCGGCTTCCAAGCCTCGACCAGTAAGTGGGGAAAGGAGGGAGGAAGGGAGGCAGGAGCGCGGCAGCCCGTACCTGCCCGAGGGCTCTTGGCCTCTTCTGGCCCCTGGGAGGAGGCACCCCTGGGCCAGGACCTAGGACCCGGGGAGGGGGGGCGGGCGGTCGCCCAGTTTTCTCCTTCCTGCGGAGGAGACGCGGGGGCTGGGGAAGGGGATCTCTTGGGGGGGGTAGGGGCGGGGCTCGGCCCCTTCTCCTCTCCCGCCCTTCCCACGCCCGCTAGGGGGAGTGGGCACACATGCCCTGGGGGTTCTCTGGTGTTGGGTGAGCGCTTTCTTGGCTGGGAGCTGGACTTGGGTGCTCCATGCAGCCCCGAGGGAGGAGCTATGGAAGGAGGGGTGCGACCCCCCCAGGCTGAGGCTCACCTCGGCCCGGGCGTTCCCTCGCTTGAGGCCCGGGGTGGGGGCCAGGGGGTAGAAGGAGAGGGAGAGTGGGGGCGCGCGCGCGCACGTGTGTGTGTGTGTGTGTGTGTGTGTGTGTGTGTGTGTGTGTGTGTATGCGCGCGCACAGGCGCTTGAGGGAGGAGCTGGGAGCTGAGCAGGACAGTCTGGACCGGTAGAGGAGAGAAGAGCCAGGTTGTAAGCTGCCAGCTATTGGCCACGACCCCCCACCGGCACCCCCACCCCTCCACCCGTCCCTATGCCATCCTCTCTCCAGGCCCTGCTGCAATTTGGTGCCTGAAATAATAGCGTCGAAAATTCAGAGAGGTCCAGTGGTCTCACCCTTCCTTTGTCAGATAAGACAACTGAGGCTCAGAGAAGTCAAGGATGTGCCTCACAAGTGGTAGGCAGCAGAAGCAGACATTGGAACCCAGGTCTTGGGCCCCCTCCGTGTGTTGTTCCCTTCAGGTGGGGAGCCAGGAAGGATGTGATATCCAGGACCTCGGACTCCCAAGTCCGGTGTCTTTCCCACTATAGCACACATGCCTCTCTACTGATATCTTCCATGTCCAGAGAGTGCTTCCAATACACATGGACTGGGCTGGACACAACATGGATATGGGAGGAAGCTCCCTCCAGCAATGAAGATCAGTACCTGCTCTTAGAGAGTGCCCAGGAGCATTGAGAGGGTGAGTGACTTGCCCAGGGTGACACAGATAAGAGATGTCAAAGGCAGGACTTGTTCCTGGGTTTCCTCACTCTCAAGATTGGCTCTCTATCCATAGGCCTCCCTCCAGAGATAGGACTTTCTCATAGCACCCCTGTAAGTTAGGTTCTGCAAGTATTATATCACCTCCATTTTCTAAGAAGGCATGAAGGCCCAGAGAAGTGGGCAATGAGAATGATGGAAAACCTGAGACAAGAACCTAGATCTTGATTCCAAGCTTCCCTTGTTCACACCCTGCCTCTCTCTTCTAAAGAGCTCTTTGTTCAGGGGCCATTTGGGCCATCAGACCATTAGAGATGGAAGAGTCATTAAAGCTCACCTAGAGAGTATCCCCATGATTAGAGGCATGGCTGAACAAGTTATGGTATATGAATGTGATGGAATACCATTGTGCTGTAAGAAATGATGAAGGGAGTGGTTCCACAAAAAGTGGAGAAACTTATATGAATTAACACAAAGGGCAGTGAGCAGAACCAGGAAAACAGTGTGCTCAGTAACAGCAAGAATGTAAGGATAATCAGCTGTGAAAGACTTAGCTTCTCAGATCAATACAATGATGCATGACAATTCCAAAAGACTCTGATTGAAAAATGCTGCCCAGCTCCAGATAAAGGTCTCTGAGTACAGAATGAAATACTTTTTATTTTTTTTTCCTTTCTTGCTTTTTGTTTATTTTTGTTCCCTTTTTTTGCATGACTTCATATGTATAATGGGTAATATGGGTTTTATAATTGTCCAGTCTGTAAGAAGAAACACTGAGGCAGAGCTCTGAGCCAATGGCACTTTATTAAAGGGTCATGGTCCCTTCTAATGAAGTGGACTTCAAATCTTCCTGATGATTTGAGATGCCCCCTTCTTCCAGGGCCTTATTTTTATGAGGCTGGGTACAAGATTGGATACTTGAACACCTAGAGGGGCTACACAAAATACAGAATTCCATTCATTGATAGACCTTACTTTGAGGGCCAAACAATGATATATCAGCAAAAAAAAATGGCATGTCACAAGCAGGGTCTTGGGGTGGGTAAATCATGGGGTATGTCCACTGACTAAGGGGTCGTAAGATGGTCACCTGCTCATGGTGGAGAAGAGAAAGTGGTCCCCAGGTACAAAAATAAGTTAGTGGACTTTCCATGTAATTGAATTAACTTCACCTTGCTGAGCTTGGTCACCATAACAAGTGAAAACAAGGGTGGAGGGCCTCTAGTTAGCTTAAGTGTCTTCTGTGTGAGTGCCAGGCACTACTAAATGCTGGGGCACAAATATGAAAAAAGAAAGTAGGTTCTTCCTTCAAGGACCTTAAAGTCTGATGAAAGCTGATAACACATAAAAGGAAATTGAAAAGGAGGGGAAGGGTAGGAAGACTCTGGGGCACGGTCAGCAAAGTCCCAAAGTAGTGCAGCCAGGTGAAAAAGTAGATGTCAGATCTGAGCTCCCTCCTTAAATGGAAGATTTGCAATTCCTGGATAATGGGGTGAGACTGGCATTTCCTGCCTCCACTGGCCCTAGGGAGGAAAGTGATCTGTAATGGCCAGTGTATGCTTTACTGGTATTGTCAGTTTCTTTGAAGTAGATAATGCACTTTAGACTGGATCCCATGTTACTCACCTAGAGTGATTGTGTCCTCACTGGTTTCCCTCATGAAAGGAACACATTTGGGAGCCTGAGACCTGGATTCTAATCCCTAGTTCTGCTGCCTACTACATCTGGGACCTACTACATCTAGGCTCATTACTTGATCTCTCAGCATCTTCATTTTACAAAGGAGGAAACTGAGACTCAGGAATATGAAGTGATTTTGCCAATGTCACATGAGTGGTAAATATTTGGGAGTGGGATTTGATTCTAGGACATCCTGACTGGCCCAAGGTAACACATACTAAGTGTCAGGGCTGGGACCCTCTAGATCCTATTTGGCTGTCCTCTTATCCACCCCATCCCTAACCCATTCTTTCCCCCCTCCCTTTCCTTTGTGCCCTCATGAATCCTTGTTCTAGCATGAACAAACTGTCTGTCACACGAGACTTGTCTCCTCCCTCCAAATCACTTGGTATATGACTTTTATTTACTTATTTGTATACATGCTGTTTCTTTTAAATAGGAAGGAAGCTGTTTGAGGCTAACAACTATTTTGATTTGTCTTGATATGTGGTGTGAGGTGTTAGTCTATACCCAGTTTCTACCAAACTGCTTTCTACTTTCCCCAGCAATTTTTGTCAAATTGTGAGTTCTTGCCCCCAAAGCTAGCATCTTTGGGTTTAGCAAACACTAGATTACTGTGGTCATTTGCTACTACTGTGTGTTGTGCACCTAATCTATTCCACTGATCCTCCAGTCTCTTTCTTAGCCAGTACCAGATTGTTTTCAGGATCACTGCTTTGTAGTATAATTTGAAATGTGGTACTGCTAGGCCACCTTCCTTCAGTTTTTTTTTTCATTGATTCTCTTGATATTCTTGACCTTTTGTTCTTCCAGATTATTTTTTTCTAACTCTATAAAGTAATTCTTGGGTCATTTGATTGGTGTGGCCCTGAATAAGTAAATTAATTTCAGTAGAATTGTCATTTTTATTGTATTGGCTTGGCCTACCCATGAGCAATTAATATTTCTCCAGTTTAGATCTGTCTTTATTTGTGTGAAAAGTGTTTTGAAGTTGTGTTCATAAAATTCTTGGATTTGTCTTACCATATAGACTCCCACGTATTTTATGTTGTCTGTGGTTAGTTTAAATGCCATTTCTCTTTCTGTCTCTTCCTCCTGGCTTTTGTTGGTAGTGTATGGAAATGCTGATAATTTATGTGGATTTATTTTATATCTTACAACTTTGCTAAAATTATTTCAACTAGTTTTTTAGTTGATCCTATAGGGTTTACTAAGTAGGCTATTATATCATCTGCAAAGAGTGATAGCTTGGTTTCTTTGTTGCCTTTTTTCATTCTTTCAATTTATTTTTCTTGTCTTCTTGCTACAGCTAAGCATTTCTAGTACGCTATTGAATAATGGTGGTGATAATGGACATCCTTGCTTCACCTCTGATCTTATTGGGAAGGCTTTTAGTTTATCCCTATTACAGATAATGTTTGCTCTTGGGTTTAGATTGATATTACTTATGATTTGAAGAAAGGTTCCATTTATTCTTATGCTTTCTAGTGTTTTTTTAATAGGAATGGTGGTTGTATTTTGTCAAAAACTTTTTTTGCATCTATTGAGATAATCATGATTTTTGTTGGGTTTGTTATTGAAATGGTCAATTATGCTGATACTTTTCCTAATATCGAACTAGACTTGCTACATTTCTGGTCTAAGTCCCACCTGGTCTTAGTGTATGATCTATGTGATATATGTCTGTCATTTCCTTACTAATACTTTATTTGAAAATTTTTTGCATCCATATTCATTAGGGAAATTGGTCTCCAATTTTATTTCTCTGTTTTTTCTCTCCCCATTTAAGCTATCAAAACTATATTTGTGTCATAAAACGAATTTGATAGGACTCTTTCTTTACCTATTTTTTTTTCAAATAGTTTATATGGGATTGGGCTTGATTGTCCCTTAAATGTTTGGTAGAATTCACTTTCAAATGCATCTGGTCCTGTGGATTTTTTTTTTTAAGGGAGCTCACTGATGTTTTAAAAAATGTGTTGGTTTTCCATATTTTCCTGGTTCTCCAGTTTTTTTTTAATCTCTTATTTCTTCATTTTCACAATAAAAGTGTTTAATGATTTACAAAATAGCAGAATTTGGATGCTATGTCATTTGGTACATGTATGTTTAGTATTGATACTGAAAGCTAACATTGTCTCTGGTAGCTTTTTGCCAAGATGTGGTTTCCCTACTTATCTCTATTAATTGGTTCTATTTTTACTTTTGCTGTCTCTGAGATCATGATTGCTACCTCTATTTTTTCTTTTTTTCACTTCAGCTGAATCATAATGTAGTCTGCACCAGTCCCTTATTTTAAATCTGTGTGTGTCTTTCTGTTTCAAGTGTGTTTGTTGTAAACAACATTTTGTTGCGATTTGGTTTTCCAATCCATTCTGCTATCTGTTTCTTTTTTTGTGGGTGAGTTCATCCCATTCACATTCACAGTTATGATTCTTAACTCTGCATTTCCCTCCATCTTTTTCTTCTGCTTCTCCTTCTCGCTCATTTTTTACCATGTCCCTCCTCAGAAGTCTGTTTTGCTTCTGACCATTCCCTTTTATACTCAACTGGGTGTGTATATAGATTTTTCCTCTTTGAACCAAGTCAGGTGAGAGTGAAGTTCAAGCATTACCTGCCTCCCCACTTCCCCCTTCCCCATAAAAGCTCTTCCTTACATGCCTCTTTTATGTGAAATAATTTTCACCATTCTTCCTCTCTCCTCCCCCTTTCTCACCTATCCACTTTGCTTTTTTTAGATCATCCCAACATCATTGTGTCACTCCTGTGCCCTCTGTCTGTATGGATTCCTTCTAACTGCTCTAATAACAATAAAGTTCTTAGGAGTTACATGCATCATCTTCTTATATAGATAAGAACATAAATGGCTTAATCTTACCAAGTCCCTTATGAGTTCTCTTTCATGTTTACCTTTGTATGCTTCTCTTGACTCTTGTATTTGAAAGTCAGATTTTCTGTTCATCTCTGGTCTTTTCTTCAGGAATGTTTGAAAGCCCTCTATTTCATTAAATATCCATTTTTTGCCCTGAAGAATTCTACTCAGTTTTGTTGAGTAGGTAATTTTTTGTTATAATCTTAGCTCCTTTGCCTTCTAGAATATCATCTTCTAGGCCTACCACTCTTTTAACATTGTAGCTGCTGAGTCTTTTGTGATCCTGACTGAGGCTCCATGATATTGGAGTGATTTCTTTATGGCCCATTGAAGTCATTTTCTTTTTGATTTGGGAGCTTTGGAATTTTGCTATAATATTCCTGAGAGTTTTCATTTTGGGATCTCTTTTAGTACATGATCACTAGAGTCTTTGAATTTCTATTTCACTGTCTGGTTCTAGGATATTGGGACAGTTTTCCTTTATTTTCTTGAAATTTTCTTTGATATTGTGTCACCCTGAGTTTTAGTTGACTCTATTGCTCTAGAATTTGACTCAGGGGCATTATTTTGAAGTTGATGGGAATGTTAGGAGAGTTCAGCCTGTATCCTGCCATCTTGGTTCTGCCCCCAGAACTTCTCAGGACTCCTTTTTCACCTCCTCCTGACAGACGCACACATTGTTCATGTATTATTGGAATTCAATGTTCTTTAAATGTCAAAATTTGCTTGAAAATTCACCTCATCCTTGGGTGTTTTTCCTGTGGCAGTTTACAGGTTTTTCAGTTTCTGTTTCTAAGATATTTACATATTATATTTCCTCTTCTGTTAATCTGAGCAATTTATGTTTTTTTTTAAATATTTCTCCATTTCTGTTTGATTTTCAGTTCTGTTGGAATAGAGTTGAGCAAAATAACACCGAACAGTTGTTTTTATTCTTCTTCATCGATTGTGAATTCACCTTTTAAATTTCTGGTACTGGTAAGTTGTTTTTCTTCTTTCTTAAAAATCAAATTAGCTAATGCCTTAAGTTTCAAATTTTTTAACCTCTCCTTTAATTTTCAGGATTCTTTTTTGGTGTTGAATTGGGAGATTTTAATTTGTTGGTTTTGTGATTGTATTTTACTTATATGCCAGATTCTTTGCTCTACTTTTTATTTTATTGGTGTAACCAATATAAATTTTCACCTAAGTACTTTTATGAGTATATCTCACTAACTTTGATATATTCTGTCATGGTTGTCATTGCCTTTAATGAAGTTATTAATTGCTTCTATCGTTTCTTCTTTGACCCACCCATTCTTATATTTAGGCTATTTACGTTCCAATTAATTTTTAATCTTTGCTTCACAGGCCATTTTCATCGTGTTATGGTCAATAAAAAAAGCATTTAATGGCTTTTCCGCATTTTAGTCAGTCACAAAACATTTTGAAGTGTTTAACTATGTGCCAGTTACTGTGCTGAGCACTAGAGATATAAAAATAAATAAAAAATAGATCCTTCTCTCAAGGACCTCACAATCTAATGAGGGAGAAAAAAGCAAACAAATCTGTTGAAACAAGGTCTATGTGGGATATATAAGAAATAATTAAGAGAGGAAAGAGAGGTTGAGAAAGGCTTCCTGTAGAAGAGGGAATGCTAATTGTTTGTGAGGTTATAAAAGCCAAGTGTAAAGCCCTAATACATGGACAACTCCTGGGAAAATGCCATGCACAGTTGAGAAAAAGGTATATTCCTTGCTAGTCCCATTTAAAATTCCTCAGAGGTCTATTATATCTAAATTTTAAAATGTTTCAGTCATCTCCTCAGCTTTTTTCCTGCTTATTTTCCAGTTCAATTTGTCTTGGTTTGAGAAGGGTAAATGAGATTCTCCCCCTATTATTGTTTTCCTGTCTAGTACCTCCTATAACTCATTTAACTTTTCATTTAACAATTTAGGTACTATTCCTTTGGGTTGCATATATATTCCGTGTTTATATTAAGTCGTTTGTTTTGCTTGTTCATTCTTTGAGCCTACTTCTTCACTTTAGACTTTATGTGAGTGCTGGGCTCTGCATACTTCTGGGGTTATATTGGGCCTAACTTCCCATTCTCTTATCTCCTTCTTCTGCTTTTGCAGCTCAGAGTGGAGCCTGCAAGCCTTTAGTGCTCCTAAAGTGGTGTGATCCATGTAGAGTTGTGTTCACTGCCTTCCTGGTATGAGCTCTTCAAGTTCCTAATCTAGCTAGGCTTGGGTCTCTTCACTTGTGGCCGGTTGGGAGTTTCAGCAGACTGCTGCTGGACTCAGTCCCTGTTAGCTCTCTGGGAGACTCTGCATGTTCAGAGTGACTGAACTGCTGGCTCCCATTTGGTCTTTGACTCCTGCCCTGATTCTTCCTCTGCAGGCAGACAGAGCAGTGACAGCGGTTAAAACTGAGTCACCACTCTGCTCCTGCGATCAGAGCTGCCCTACTGCTTTTCAAGAAGTTCACCACACAGCTAGAGCCCAAGGTCATAACCACTCCTTGCTATCCTGGGCCTGTGACCCAGAGCCAAGTAGTGGGTAAAAGAGCTTCCAGATGGCACTCATTCCTATTTAACCCAGCACTGGTCCAGGGATCCCCTGGGATCTCTTTCTGTCTTAGTGTTTTGTGCCTTGTTACCCTTCTTCAGACCTCTTCCCATCCCTGGGCACTAGGAAGTTCCATGCCTTAGGTCTTCCTGTCCAGATCCCAACTCCAGTGTCTGCAGACCTCTCTGTTTATCTTCCTAAGCGGCTTTGAGCTAGGAAAGTGACTCGCTATGATTTTTTCTTGGCTTTCAAGATGAAATTTGGTCGGGTATACATTTTCTAGATTGTTGTAGATTGGGTGGGCTGAGAGAGCTAGGCAAAAATCTTTCCTCTCACTCCACTATTTTGACTCTGCCTACCACCACTTAGTTTATTTGACTTCTGCTTTTACCTTGTCTCCTTTTGTACTTTTAGAAAGAAATCCCTTCATATTCTCCCAGTTGTGCTTTTGTTGCTGTTGGTAACCCCATAGTTGTCTTTTTCTTTTAATCCCCTGCCCTGGTTATTTCATTATCTACTCCTTTCTCAGTTGCTTTATTTGTGTGCCTTTCTCATATTTCTGTTGTCTGGAGTGTTTCACAAGTAAATGATTTGTCTGGTTCTGATTTTCTTTATAGGAATGTTTCGAATGTCTCTTTTTTATTGAGCATACATTTTTCCCCCATTAAATAGTTAAGCTCAGGTTTGAAGGGCACGTCACATTGGATTGCATGTGGAGTTCCTTTGCTCTTTGAAATGCATTATTATATTCCTTCCTATGGTTTCTGATTAGTGTAGAATATTTTCATGCTATTCAAATTTCATTTCCTTTATATATTGGAGGTTTTTTCCATGGTCACTTGCAGAATTCCTTGTTTGTCATTAATTGTTCAGTTAAATCACTCTGTGTTTTGGAGTTTATAGTTTACTTTTTTTTTTTCCTTTTCTGGAGGTGATCTGTGGATTCTTTCAATTGGCATGTTTTCTGTGTTTAGAATTTCTGCATAGGTTCCATGTATTCTTTCTTGCATGGTCAGAGTTTCTGACTTGTGTGCGTCTGGGATAGTTATATTCCTTAAATTATATTCCTTAATAAAACACATCATGTTGTCATGATCAGTACGTTTTGCTTGTATGGAGATTGTGTTTTCTTTTAACATTATTGCTGTTTGCTTCTCTTTTTCCAGATTGTCCTTCACTTCCTCATATTTGCATTCCCAATCAGCTGTTCTCTGTTGTCATTCTTTGACCAGACTTGTGGCTGTGGAGTTAAGTTTCTCTATTTTGTTGATTATTTCTGTCTTATGCCATCTGAGCTGAGACTTACACCTCTCACTTTTCTGGTCAACAAAATGAGGAAAACCACACGTACACTTTCTCCCTCCCAGGCTTGTCATGCACATTTGCCAATGCTCCGTTGATGGAAAGATGTGAGCTGGTTTCATCGTCATTTTTCCTTGCTCCTCACCTTTGCTGCCATCTTCTGCCTCATGTATGGAAGACAGGATGGTACAAAAAAGCCCTGTCTCTGAGAAGTTCTGTGAAACCTTGCATGTCTTTCTTAGTTTTCAGCTTTGATGGGTCCTAAAATCTTGTTTAATTAGCCTCTTTTCAAAGCATTCTCTGTTCCAGCTCAGCAGGAAATCATAGGTCCCTTTTCTTTACAGGTTAAGGGGACCAGAAGCAGTCAGAATAACTTTGCATGCTTTGAATCAGAGATCAGGACCATTCCATTACATGTCATCCTGCCTTTCTAAACCAATAGTCTGGAGAATTCAAGATGAAACACTGTACATACAATATGAAATGAGCCATACATTGTTGGGCATGGTCAATGTAGTAATTAGATTTATGTGAGTAGGCAAATTAGGTGTGAAGGCTTGCTGGGTTTTTTTTGGCTTGTTTTAAATGCTCAGTTGAAGGTGGTGTCAGTGGGGGAACACATTTGTGAGTGTTTGTAAATGAATAAAAATCGGAATCATTTTATTTTTAAAAATTATATCTAAAAATTGCATGGAGAAGGAAGTGGATGAATAACAGACAGAAGTGGAGGAGAAGGCTACTGGGGATACAGGTCATCATTTTGCATGGGGCAAGAAGGGCACTATAACTTTGAAGTGAATAGTATCATAAGCAATTAGAACCTTAGGTGTCTGGCTGATGTATGGAAGGAGCTATCTACTTGCACAGAATTTGTCCTTTGCCCCAAACTACCTTTTGGATGTTCTCTTGGACACACTGAGTTATTCCATTTCTGCCCTCCCCCTCCCCCCAACTTCCTTCTGCTACCTACTACCTGCTCAACCAGCCTGTCTGCACTGGGAATTTCTCTTCTGTCTAAGCACTACTTACTTACTTATTCATTCAATCATTCATTTATAATCTAAACACTCTTTTGCTCAGGAGTATTGTCTCCAAATTCAGTGAATTTTGTACCATTCTGTTTGAGGAGGGCTGGTTCTAAAGGAGTGGAGAGGACAGAAGGAACAAAGACAGGGAGGGAGGGGCCAAAGCTACCTTATCACCAATTGCTTTGACTTTCAAAGTCTTTATGAAGCCCCTGAGGAGCTTCACCACATTGCTAAATAAAACTACCCCTTCTTCCAGTCTTGTCCTTGGGGTTGCAAGCAGTAGAGTCAAAGCTTTATACGACACCCCTTTCCCTCTCCCCACCCCCCTCCACCCTGCTCCTTTACCCTGAGCAGTTTTCTCCTCTGAACAGTGTAGTAGGTGTCGGAAGAGTGAGACTTCTTATCAGAAAGCCTATCTATCTTTCTATTAGAAAGCAAAACAATCAAGTTTGCAAAGTCTAGGAAGGAATATTTGCAAAGCAAACTAAATGTGAAATAGGCTTCCTGGGCCATATATGGAAAGGACACTTTTCTGATTGTTTGAATGCTGAACCACACTGAGGTAGCTTCTTCTAAAAGACTTCCATCTTTCCTTAAAGAATGCTAGGTTGGATCAAGTGACAGGTTTTGGAAGGGCCTACTCTAGCCCCAAGGATACTGCCTCCAGGTGGCCCCAGTGCTATGAACCACCTCCACCTCCCATCATCAGTTGTTAGTAGTGCTTTCTGCTCTCCAATCCACTTCTACTTATTCCCTATACATCCTCTCTGTACCTATGAATTTTTAGTGTTGTCTTCTCTACTTGGAAAGAAACTACTGGGGGGAAGGGATTCTTTTGGCATTTCTTGGTGTAAGAGTATAGATTGATTGACTCAATTAAAGCAACCCATCCCAATCAGAGTCAATGATAAGATTCTGAGCCTGATACATTATTCATTTGACAACATCTATGGACTATTCACTAGCTTTGACCAAAGTCTAGATACCACGTTCAGGTCTGCCTGTTTAGATTAGCTAAAGGACTTAGTCACACCCTGGGTAGGGGTGGGTGAGGGTCCTGTAGAGTGGAGAAGCCATTCCAGCTAGACCCCTAAGGAAG